TTTTTTTTTTTTTTTTGTTATTGTCTATCCAATATGGTGGACCACTGTAGGCCCCCACAGCTGGCTCCAGTAACGTTAGATACCTGCTGAAGCCTCACACAGTGGGGGGAGAAAGAAAAACGTGACTGGGCGAGCCAACATGTACATTTCCACACCTCCTGCCGAAAACACGAGGAGGTAAGACTGTCCAACAACAAAAACAAACAACGATTAATGCCAGCACTCACATCATGTAGGGGTCGTCATCAACGTCATTCAAGAACCGAAACATGCTAGGTGCTTTAACTCAGCTGGCTGATGCTAGCCAGCTAGCTGGGTAAACAGTCGCTGCTCCTCAAGGATGAAACAGGATGACGGTCTCACACTGGTGTCAGGCTGAAGTGGACGGTCTTTCTCTAGCGCCGCCACCAAAAACACCAACTCGCCGCTGCTGCTTACCAAAGTGACAGGTAGCTCAGTTTCACAGGATAGTAAATTCCAGAAACCTGGACCAAACATGAAAACGGAAGTCGGTCCTCTGACAAAGAGAAGCAGCACCAGTGTCAGGTTAGCGTCACAGCTGACGACGGGCACTTCCGGTCGGGTTTGTTTTTCAAAATAAGGTGTTTCCCTAGAGGCCTTCACAGCAATCTCTTTACGTGGTGTCTCGATTTATCGTGTGGAATAGTGTAAACTGGAATATAACACATGTTTTAAGTCATAAATCACATCATAATGAACATATATATATATTTTAATAACTCATGCACTCCACTCCATTTGCACTGTTTGTTGCAATGTTTACTGTAGCTACTGTTAATTTTATATATTATATACATACATAATAGGATATATCTTATTTTTATCTTATTTTTGATTCTGTTTCTTAAGATCAGGGTTTTTAGTTTTAGTTTAATGTATGTTTAATGTATGTTTTGTATTTTGTATGCGTACTGGATGCTTTGAATTTCCCTCGGGATAAAATAAAGTATCTATATTTCTTATCTTTATTCTTCTTCTATTCTTCTATTTATCTCTCTATCTATCTTTCTATCTCTATGCGTTAGTTCTGCACTTGTTTTTAAATTCGTCTCTCTGGATCAGTTTTATACTGTTGTGTAAACGTGTCGTATT